CATCTGTTGATTGACGCATGAACGGCGCAAGATTATTCCTAAATTTTGATTGAAAATCTCGTAATATTTCCTTCTGCTAAAGGTGGCTCAGGGCATCAACTGATGTCACCGCTGTGCTAAGAGGTCCTAGGGTTCGGATCCCGGCGGTGGCGGTATTTTCGTCACCAGCTATGCAACTGCCTCAAATTCAGCCGTTGTCGAATTCAGGTGAATGCCGGATCAGCACCCTACCAAACGGGTCACGATCGCACGCGATTTTTCCTTCCTCTTCCTTGTCATATTCTCATCCCCTTACTTTCATACACACTCTCACGCACTACACTATCGCACTTGCCGGTTGACCAGTCGGGAGCTTAGAGCTTGCCTCGGCTGGTCTGGTGGCGCGCTTGGCAATAAAACAAAATATTATTTTTCCAGTGTGTGTAATATTTATAAAATATAGGTCATTTTACAAAGTTTACTTGACAATAAACACTGCATGTGTGTGCCAAAATGGCAGGTAAAATATAATCAATTTATTTATTTCATGGCCGTTTTGGCTTTATATTCGGCATTTGGGCGTTGTACATGACGTTAAGTTTATGTTGTTTTTTTAAATTTTGTTTCTAGATGTTTCTTATCGTAATACTGCATCCCGCATCTGCAATTTGTTTTTGTTATTTAAATATTATTAAAATAAAAAACTAATGATTTGTAATATTATACTGATACTACTGTTTTATAATGTGTTTTTCTTCGATTTGTATTTCATAATGTTAATGAAAGTATTATACTTCAGAAGTAGTTGTGTATTCGAAGGCTTTTAAATTTTTATAGGCTACAAAACTGTATTTTATTTCAAACTGAGATAGTTATTCCGATAAAATAAATCCTTAGGTGATTTTTAATCATTTTCGGTAAATTTGCAATGAGTAAATCATGAAATTTGTCGCCAAACATTTGTCAAAGGTGTTTCTTAGATGGCGTTTATTTCCGATGTGAGTCTCATATTCTCCTCTCTCCCAAAGAAGCCTCTGTGTACTAAGGCTCCCGTACCGGGCGAATACTAGAGCAGCTCCTTAAGAAACGAGCCACGTACCGCACACGATTTTCTCCAGAGAGAGATTGCTATGCAACGGCGGCGCGTCGCGGGAGGTCGCGGTTCGATCCCGCATGTTGGTCCCGTGGGCGGTTCGAAAGCTTCCGTCTGGAATTGGGGCGACGAGAGAAGAGCCGTTGAGACAAGAGACGAGAGGGAGAAGGAGAGAAGAGCAGGAAGGAGAGAGAGAAGAGAGAGAGAGAGAGAGAGAGAGAGAAGAGAGAGAGGAGAGACGGTTTACGGCCAGTGAGGGGCGAGGCGAAGAAGCAAGGCGGTTGGCAGGTTCTTCATCAAGGGCGCACCTGTTTGCTGGCGGAGTCGCCCGTCATTTGGCGCACTCAAAAAAGTATTTAATGGCACGGCTTACTTCCGCGTAGACGTACGAATGAGGATGGAAATGATGAGGCAGCGAAACGACTCTCTTGTCGTTTGGAAAATTGGTGTCTACATGGATCTCTAATTGATTTGGCACCGGTGGGCTGCGGTTCTATTAGACGATTCCTCTGCGCTCAATATACACCTTGTTCCGTGGTCGAGTGTGGTACTTCAGTGGGGACACCAAGAGTGACGATGAAGTCCATAGTGCTCTTCCGTTGCGAAAACGAAAACAATGGGCAGATGAAGACACATTAAGAAACGCGCAGATGTGCGGCCTTCTTCGCCTTCATGATATAAAAAAATATTTTAATTTTGGCTGGAAGGTTGCTGTTCAGTAATTGGTGTTTTCTTAAAAAACAATTTTAATAATAAATCACGCCTGAACTGATCTGATCACCCATCAAATTATTTTTTTAATTCTGTATTAAATTCTGTATAGTATGCGTGTTTTCTTCAAATTTAATAATAAATATGCTATCGGGTAACCTGCAAGTTTAGTGACTTCAAAACATTTACAATTTTCATCAATTATATTTAAACAGCTGATGTCTTTTAATTAACAGTTATGCTGACTTACTTTTATAACAAGCTGGGGTTTCTTTCCGCAAATCTACTTTTTAACAATAGAATTCTGTTAGAATTCTGAAGGCTTTGCTTAGCACTTCTTGGAATTCTTCTTTCGAAATGGAATGAATAGGTTTTTAACAAATGTACTATGCAGAGGCACTATATTAAAAAAGATGAAAGGTTCCATTTCTGAAAGTACTCAGATGATATTAATGGATTTTAAGCAGAATGATTCTGTATATCCATTTATAGAAAAAAGAGTCTTTGGAGCCGACAATATCAGAAACCAAATAGACAACGAAGGTAGTTCGAAACTGACATTCAACCACTTTAAACATTTTGAGAGTCTTCATCAAGCAGTTCTCTCCTAGAAAAGTAAACTTCATTAAATTCCGGGTGCATCTAGATGGCGAGATGCTCTGAACTTGTCTCGAATTGCTGCAACATACGACTTTGGAAGTACAAGATGCTTCTAAAAAAACTTGCCGTTAAACGAGGTAAATGGGTAACAATATTTAGGGCGAACGGCGGCACACAGTGGGCTGAAACTGGTAAAAAGGAGCGTATGAGAAGCAAAATTAAAATCTTGGGATGGAAACGCATTATGCATTTTTGATTTATTGATTAATGTTTCGGGACGTCCTCGAAATGTCTTAGATCCGTTATGTAGGAAGGAAATGACACTGTTCCTCCACCACTGGATGCATGATCTGGCGCCGACTGCTCGCGAGAGTTTTCCTCCCAGGTATCTCGCACCAGCGGGGAACCGCCCGCTGGAAAGCTAAATCAGACTAGTCTCCAAAATGTGAAAGTGTATTGCAAATGCTATATAAGTGTGTGGTAAGTAACGGTACGAAAGGAGAGGAAGGAAAGATGCGCGCGACCCGTTGTTAGGTTTTCGTTCCGTCTATGCTGGGTGTTGTTAGGAGAAACTAAGTTTCTATCTATACGACTGGACGCTAGAATTGTTTCAAGATTTCGGACTACTATTCAGGTAGCATTGAAATCTTTCACCGTGGATTGAACTATACGCTTTTCCGTGAGTCCTATACAGAAGTTTGATCAGCCAGACTGATATTTATGCTTCTTATAGTATTTTTATATTTCGAGCCTTACCCACTTATATCGTGTGTCTGAATATATTATGGCGCTTAGCGTTAAATCTACGTTAGTACCGATTGTGAATTTTCCCGTGTTGAGAGCTTGCGAGCCGGTTCTGTCTTGAAAACAGACTCCCTCGACCTGTCATTTGGGATGGGAATGGCACTCAGAGTTTTGGTGCGAAGTAAAAAGATACGGTATTTTTAACACTTGTTCCAACCCCTCAGCTTGGTCCGGAGCAGAGAGGGGGCTTAATAAAACTATCGTACGGTCGGTTCGAACCTGGGAATCGATGGCAATGCTTGAAGGGGGTCAATGATAAACAGGGATCGATTGGGAAGGTCTTCATTCTGATTATGAGTCTTCCTCAATAGAAAATAAGCATAATCTTACTTGTGTATCTACGGCATTAAGTAGATATTTACCCGAGGGAGACTGGAACAAGCCTCTGGCTGGGGCTTGAAGTCGCATGAGGGGCAAAAACATATTATTATATTATTATTATTATTATTATTATTATTATTATTATTTATATTATTGCGGAATCCATTTAGTATACATTACTTTGGTCTCTGATCATCAGAACCGGTTTGACATGGAAACTTTTGTGTTTTTGATGTTCTGAGCATGGCCTCATGAATATGACTTTTGTATGGTCAGCTCTACCTTTAATCTGCGTTGCTTTAATGTGGAAGTTAATTCGTGGAAGGCAATACGAAAGGGTAATGTCTACATTCCATCCCAAGCAAAAAGTGGCAGAACGATGATAAAACAGGTAATTCTATTTCAAGTACAAGGAGATGGAAGTTTTTTAGTTCAGAGAACTATGTTAGCGAACAGCTGGTTTGTAGCACGTGGGTCTTGATTCGAGTCAACTTCCTGAAAACAAACGGCTGTTTCGCTCAGAACTGTGAGGGTCCGCTAACCGCTCTTTGATCTTCGCATTCTGGCATGTCAAATTCACTATACATATTGGGTGTAGCATGAATACTTTAAAAAAATTGCAAATCTGTGGCCTACGTTAAAAGTATCTAAGAGACATTTTCAAAACGCTGCACAAGGTTTGTGGGACTGTATATCTTTTAAAGACATGTGAATATTCTTCACTAAAGACAGCCATTGGCACCCTGCCTTTATCTGCCACAAAAATGTGTAATATACTTTCTTTTTCCTACCCAGAGTTTCGGAGCACTCGTTTCAAACGTAGTTGTAGGTCATATTTATTATTTATTTATTTATTATTTATTATTTATTATTTATTATTTATTATTTATTATTTATTATTTATTATTTATTATTTATTATTTATTATTTATTTATTTATTATTTATTCATTTATTATTTATTATTTATTATTTATTATTTATTATCTTATTATTTAATTATTTATTATTTATTATTTATTATGTTATATATTTATATATTCCCGCGGCAGTCTTTCCTTCCTCTTCAGAGCCTATTATCTCCGCCTTGCTCACTCACACCGCAAGTGTCGCACAGCTGAGCGCGCCGCCCCTTGCCCCACTTCGCGCCCCCTCCCCCCCGCTGGGAAGTAAAGACGTTCCCCTGTCTTCCGGCGGCTACGCCGGCGTCGCGCGAATTTTCCGCGGCGGCGCTGGCGGCGGGCTGGCCGTGGCGGCGGGGCAGCGGGAGGGGGAGGGGAGGGGGTGGAGGTGGGGGTGGGGGCGAGACAGGTGAACGGTCGGGCGGGCCGGCCGAGCGGTGGGCGGCTGCTGTGAAACGCGCGCGCTCTCCGCTCCCCCCTCGGCGCACCGCCGCGCGG